ACAAAAAAAAATTAATGAATGAATGAATGAAACATTTTTTTCTATAAAGTTCTTACTTGTAAAAATCGGGCGTTTAAAAAAAAAAAACTACAACAGTTATAATCGTTGTAACAACTACAAAACAAACGACATGAATTTTGTCGTTTGTTGTAGTGAACTCGGGGGAGGGGGAGAAGGAAAGCAGAAAAACTTTTGTGTGGTAATCACGGTGAATTATTTAAGTAGCCATCCAAAAAAAAAAAAAAAATTTTTTTTTTTTTCAACTCTTTGTATGTTAATTTTTTTTTTTTAATATTCAGGGACGTAATAAGGATTTTTGTTTTTTTTTTCAATCGTAAGATCGTAACGTAAATTGTTTATTATTTATTTCATTATTATTTTTATAATATTAATTAAAATTCCTGGAAAAGTTGAGGGAGAGAGATAAAAAAAAAAAATCTAGTAAAATGAAATGACAGGCACGATCAGGTTAGAGACAATCAGGTTAGCCACAATCACAAAAACAAAAAATTCTGGCTTTATTCCAACAAGCGAAAGAGAAAAACAAAAAAAAAATTATTTAATTATAAATTAACTTCGTACTGATATATTGATGTGAAATGATAATGATAATAATTAAATTATAAATCATTTGTGATTTGATACGTTCGTGCGTGCGTGTGTTTATATTGTTAATTGTCTTAATTCCTTAATCGTACCTGATAATTTTATTAAAGGTTTACTTTGTGAATAAAAAGGTAAAAATCATTCACTTCGAAAATTAACGCAAAAACGGTTTTACCTCCACCACCACCACTACCACCATTGTAGTTATTGCTACGATTCATTGCCACCCTCTTACCGATAATAATAATAATCGCAGGAGCAACCCTTAATAAAAAGCAGGTGAAAAATTTTTTTTTTACCTGATTTCAACCCTCATTTTACCGTCTTAAAAATGTCAAAAAAAAAAAAGAAAAAATCATCGATAATCAATCATTTTTTTTCTGTTTCGCCATAGTTTTCGAATCGTCATCGTCGTCGTATGCAAAAATTTTATTATAGCAGACGACAAACAAGTAAATTAATTTTTTTTTTTAAATGAGATTTTTGAAAAAAGCAGAAGAGGAAGCGGGAGGAACGGGGGTGGAAGAAAAAGCGGGAATTCATTCGGTCAATAATTGCGTTTTTCCTCTCTCTCTCTCTCTCTGTAATCTTAATAACTTTTTCTCTTCTTTCTCGCGCTCTTTCTATCTTTTTCTCTCTCTCTCTCTATCTTTTCTTTTAGTCTGTTATAAAAGTAATCAGTGAAGTGTCAGCTCTAATAAGCTCTATTCGTGGCATTAAGATTTCTTTTATTGTTTACGGGTGTTGTGAGTAAGTTTTTGTTGTCGTGTCATTTGGATTGATTATGTGTCCTTTTGTCTTTTTCCTTTTTCCATCATTAAAATTTTATCAAAAAGTTTTTTTTTTATTATTATTATTATTTTATCATTTTATCACATTCGATTCTTTCTGTTGCCACTTTCATTCACTCTATCTCTCTCTCTTTCTCTTTCTCTTTTTTTATTTTCCTTTAATAAAATTATTTGTCCTGATATAAAATGACAAAATCATTTAACGATTTTTTTGTTTTTATGGAAATAGATCACGAATCGATCGTAAAAGGTTTAACTGAAAAACGGTTAAAAGGTTGTTTTTATCGAGAAAATGAATGAATGCATTGATTGATTGATTGATTGATTGGTGAGATTTTCCCAAAAAAAAAAAAAAATTAAAAAATATTCGCGTGGAAAAAAAATTTTTTTTTTAAATTAATTTTTTATTATTATTTCTTCTTTTCTTTTTTTCTCTTATTAAAATTCCAGAAAATTCCAGTGGATTTTTTGTTGTCGTTTGAAACGATAAAGAAATTTAACTGGAATAAAAAAAAAAATTGGGATTAAAAGGAGAGAGAAAAAAAGGAAAGGAAAGGAAAGGAAAGGAAAGTAAAATTTCATCATCAAAAAGCGTTGAAGAGAAAAAATTAATTTAGAAAAAAAAAAAAAAAGTTGTTTTGTCCTTTTTTTCCTTTTTTTTTTCCTTTTTTCCTTTTTTTTTTTTTGTTAACTTTTTCTTAAGCTCGTTTGCTTTCTAGAGAATCTCATCGAAAGGATATATTGAAAATAAAATAAAAAAAGGTAGTTGATTAAAAAAAAAAATAAAATAAAAAAGGTAAAAAAAAAAAGAAGTAAAATCAAATAGGCAAAAAAAAAGAAAAAAAAGAAGGAGAATCGAAATGAATGATCCTCTTATCGTTGAAATTCACACTCCAGTAAAATGATGGATTTTTATGCTTTTCCTTACTCCTCCTTCTCCCCCTCTCCCCTCTCCCTCCCTCCCATCCCACACCTTTCTTCCTTTTTAACTTTTCCAGCATCTCTTTTATTTATTTATTTTATTATTTATTTTTTTTTTTTTTTGTTGTACGAATTAGAAAATTTATGAATGATTTTTTTTTTTTTTATAAGAAATGAAAAATCTTACGAGCCTGGAAAATTTAATAAAAAAAAAAATTTTTTTTATTAACGACGCGACTGGAGAAAAAAATTATTTGAATTGAAAAATCGAAAAACATTTTTCCTGAGTTAAATTTCAATTGAATTTTTAAAAAAAATTCGAAATAAACGTTTTTTTTTTCAATATGATTTCCTGGAGTCCAGTAATTCCAGTAGTATAAACAGAAAAAAAAAATCAATTTCATTCCAGAAGAGAAAAAAAAATCTCGTTATTAATTTCACTTTTTTTCTTTTTCTAATCAATTTAATTGATAACAACGCGGATAAAATTATATATATAGACAACCAGAAGCTATTTTTTTTTCCATTAATTTACTTGTTATTAATTAAAAAAAAAAAAACTTCGACGTGTCGTCTGCTTTTTTTTTTTTTTATAAAAACAAACAAATGACCTCAATAATAATCAAGTTTTTTTTTTTTTTTCGATTCCAAAATTAGATTCATTTTTTTTTTTTTTTAAACTTTAATGGTTTTTTTTTTTTTTTATTCCCATAAACTTTGTTTTTTTTACCTTTTATTTATTTTCATTGACATATTAAAAATAAAGGGGAAGGGGGGAAATGGTGGCGGGAAGGCGGGGGAGGGAGGCGGAGAGAGGGGAGGGAAAGTTAAAAAAAAAGTTTTTTCGATTAATATTTTCTCATGGTACTAAAAATAAATTTTTTTGATTGATTTTATTTTTATTTTTAAAAAGTAATTAAAAGATTTTTAAATGTTTTCTCGTGATTTTTATTTCGTCTTAATAACTTATTAATTATTTAAAAGAAAAAAAAACGGAAACAGATTGTGTGAGAAAAAAAAAGGAAATGGAAGTGGAAGAAGAAAATAAGATAAGAGGAGAGAAGAGGGGAAATTGTTGTTGAAAGTATTTGTGATGATGCAATAATTAGAAAAAAAATTAGTATCGAAAATGATTTTTTTTTATATTGGTTAGTTTTGATTGAGAAAACCTTTTAAAGGAAAAAAGGAAACTTTAATACCTTTGCGCATGTCGTGTACGCGCGTTAAAACCACGAAAATCCGTAATAAATTTTTTTTTTTTTTTTGCGGTTTGACGAGTTAAGATGTCATTAATAATAAAAAAAATAACCGATCATTTCTTTTTTTTTTTCCTTTGTAAACAAATTAGGGCACGACGACGACGACGACGACGACGATGATGGTGATGATGATGATGATAAAGAGAGTAAAAGGAAACCCTCAAATAAAAAAAAAGAAAAGAAAAAGTTAAGAAACGTGTCTTTTTACCAGATTGATTTAAGTAGATTTTGTAGTTTAGTTTTGGGTCAAGTTACATCCCTGTTTGTTTTTACACCCCTGTCGTATGTGGCCCTCCTTACTACCACTACCACCACCCACCCACCCCCTCCGGTTATTTATTTTTTTTTTTGACCAATTACAAATTTTATTTTGTTTCGATGTCCCCAAAATGTAATAAATCATATTGTTACACGTCGTTTTACACGTCTTTCGATACGTTACACAACTTCTTTTTGTTGTTTTTGTTGTTGTCGTTGTCGTTCGCGTCAACTTTTAAATCTAAACATTCATCAAAAAAAAAAAAAATTATCTTTATCCAGTGAGATAAATAATCTCTGTTTGTTCATCTCCAGGAACAAAAAAAAAAAAAGTTTTTAATGAACTAAAAAATGATTTGCGGTGTGACGTGGTAAAATTTTCACGTGGACAAACGTGGATTTGCAAGTTTTTTAAACAACAACCGACAACAAACAACCAGTTTAAAAACGATTGTAAAAAAAAAAAAAAATAATTTTTATATTTTATTACATAATATAAGTGTTTGTTGTTGGTATTATTATTATTAATATAAATAAATATTCTTGTGGGAATGAACTGGCCACCCTTTTTGCAGGATTGTTTTTTTCCTCCTCTTCTTCTTCTCACACGCACGCACACGCACTCGTATCCTCTCTCTCTCTTTTCGTGTTACTCACTTATTTTTTTTTTTTTTTCCTTTCAACATCCATCAAATGTTGTTTTTTATCTGTTTTTACTTCATCAAGTTCCTTTACATGTTTTTTTATTTTTTATTTTTATGATTTGAAAACATTAAAACCACGTCGTCGTCGTCGTCGTCGTCGTCGTATTTTTTTGGTAACGTGCGTACAAGGGTTGAAATTTTTTTTTTTTTGAGTTAATTGCCGTGAGATAATTTTTTTGTAAAATCGAAAACGAGTATTGGAATATATATAACAAATGTTTTATGATTCATGTACCGGAATGGCAAAACATAAAAGGAGATAAAAGGAAAAACGTGAAAAGGAGAGAGAACAAATAAAACAAAAGTTTTTGTAACGTAATTTTACCATTTCCCTTTTCGTGCGGGGTATAAACATCGATCATCATCGTCGAAACGTTGGAAATCATGCTTGAACCACTACTAAATCCCCTTGAAGGCAATTAAAAAAAAAAAAAGAAGAAAACTAAACCGGAAATGGCAGATTATTGCACGGTTTGCATTCTTCGACACCCGCTACCTTCAATTCTATTCAAAACAATTAAAAGAACCGGATGAAGACTGACTCGAATGATGTAAAAACTACAACAAACAAACAAACGCATGGAAATTCATAACAATAATAATAATTGTTGAAACTGATAATAACACGGAAACGTTGTTAAATCGTTTAGAATAAATTTCATTGTTATATTAAACGAATAATTAAAATTTCGAACGTTAAAATATTAACATAAAATATTTTAATATCAACCTAAAAATTTGCCTTATCATCGATAGATAACGAACAAACACAGAAAAAAAAAGAAGAAGAAATATATCGAACACGATGAGTATGAGAAAAGAAATACACGTGAAAAACACGTTTTAGGGTGAAATGAAAAATAGATTTTAACGTGAAAAAAAATTAACCTGTCGTTAACAATAACAACAACAACAACAATCGAATCACAACCTCAATAATAAAATCAAAAAAAATTTTAAAATTAGTGGATTATATTGAAAATCTTTTCGATATTGAGAGAGAGAGAAAGAGATTAAATACGTTGTACCCCTGTAACGTTCGTTATAACACATACACACACGCACATCTGCAAGTGTTGTTAGTTCTTTGTGTTGTCCCAAAAATGGACAGTAACAACAACAACAACAACATCACGAGTAAATACTATTTTAAAAAATAAAAGAAACAAAAAAAAAATATATATGTATGGATACGTATAAAAGGGAGAATAATGAGAATGAGAGAGAGAGAGAGAGAGAGAGAGAGAGAATAACAATAGTGGCTGTGCACAGGTGTTCAACCCCACCTTACTCTCTTATTGACTACCTTTATATCACCCTAACCATGTTATATTTACTTTTTTTTTTTTTTTTTCATAAAAACTACACTTACGTATTTAAACAAGTTATGTTGTATGTTTCTGTTATGTTTCGTATATATACATACGTTTTTTACCTTTTTCTTCTTCTCTTCACATATATATATATATCTTAACTAAACCTCAACAGAAATTAAAAACTAGTTTTAATGCTGCGTGTTACGCACTAATACACGTGAAAAAAATATAAAATGATTTTATAAACTCATATAAATAATAAATGGATCGTATTTCTTTTTATAAAAAAAAAAAAAAAAATTTTTTTTATTTTATTTCGTCGTGATATAGGATATCAATTCTGATTATTTATGGTAAACTTGTCCCTTTTATTTTTTAATTTAATATTAAATGAATTGTTATTTATTAGCATTTTCAATAATATTTTATTTCTTTTTACGTTAAAAAAAAATTTTTTTTTCGAAAGTTTTTAGTTTTGTGATTCCATCAAATACGGTTCGGGAATCATCCTATTTGAATTTATTATTATTATTATTATTATTATTATTATTTAAAGTTTTTATCTATTTAAACTATCACCTAACACGGTCCCGGTTCATACTAATTTTACTATTTACTAATTTTAGTTTGATAAAAAAAAAACAATAATAAACGATTGATAAACGCTAATGATAATGAAAAAAATTTTTTTTTCTTTTTGCCGTTTAAATTTAGGTTAAATTTATAATAATCATAATAATAATAATAACCCTTCTTCACGTGAGAAATTTAAATAAATATTAAGGGAAACTGGAAAAGGTCAACGACCCACTTCGTTTCCAAAAAAAAAATTTTTTCCCAAACCGCAAATGAATTATTTAACGTGGAAAATTTTTTTTTTTAGTTTTGCTGACTGGCTACACAAAGAGTTGATTTTTCCACAATAATAGTTGATTATCGTGACGATTTTTTTTCTCTTTCACTCACTCTCTCACTCTCTTTCTCTTTCACTCTTTTTTCTCCAGTATATGGAAAATTTTTTTTTTTTTTGTAAAAAAAATTGAAAACTGGAATAATTACAATATGATATTTAATTATAAAAAACATTTCACGGGGGATGAAATTGAATGGGACTGCATAGAAAATGCATTTTATAAAATCTTTTGTGTTTTTAACACAATAGAACATGAGAGAGAGAGAAGGGAAAAAAGAGGGGGGAGAGATTAAAAAAAAAAGAGAGCTCAGGTGTTTACTTTTTACAATTACACACAATTTTATTAACAATTTTTTCGTTTGTTTTTGTTTTGATTTAAAAAAGTTTTTCCATTCTTTTTTTTTATAATTTTCTCTCTGATTATTTTTTCTCCGAAATTTTATCAGAGTCGTATACCTGGAATATTATCTGGAATATTTTTCCGTTTTTTAATACAAATAAGTTGGTGAAAAAACTGAGGAATTATTTATTATTATTATTTTTTACTTAAAACTAATAATTTATATATTCGGGTAGTTTTTTTTTTTTTGCTTATCACTTAACCGAAATATCCGGTTTACTGGAGAAAAAAGAAAACCCAAATGTCAATAATCAATCAAAAAAACAAACAAACAAACAAACAAAACAAAAAAAAAGTATATGTTTCCCTGTTTGGGTTTAAAAACATTCATTAATCATATTTTGTATATTTTTGTTAGTAAATATTTAAAATTTTAAAATTAATAAAATAAAATCAGCAGAGTTTGAAATTTTGGAGTGAGAGAGAGAGAGAGAGATAGAGAGGGAGAGGTAAGAGATAGGAAGAGAGAGAGATAAATAGAGAAAAAGAAAGAGGGAAAAGAAAAGATCGATAGAGGATGGAAAAGAGCAAAAAAAAAGGAAAAGAGAGATAAATAAAGGAGAGAGGGGAAAATAGAGAAAAAAAAGAGAAAGAAACACAGGGAGAGAAAGAGAGAGAGAGAATGTGTAAAAAATTTATCACTTGTGTTTTAATGATGCCGCAATTAAAAAAATTAAATAAAATTTATCCAAAATACAAAACCTTAAAATTTTTCTTAATTTTTAAACCCCTCCCCTCTCTCTTTGTCTCTCTTTCTTCTTTCTTCTCTCTCTCTCTTCGTGCTACACAACTCGCAAAATTTCATAATTAATTTTTTTTTGTTTTTTCCCAATCTGGATGAAAAAAAGTTGAAAAAGAAAATAGAAGAAAAGTGTGAAAAAGTAATTTAAATTCATAATAAAATAATTTCCCTTTTTCAGTTATTTTGTTGTCGTTGTTTTTGTTGTCATCATCATCATCATCATTGAAAAAAGGCTCGAAAATTGAAAAGTTTTCATATACATACAAAATAAATATAAATTTAAGATAATTGATGATGATGATGATGATGATATTGAAACGACAAAAAGCACAACAAACACACACACACACTCACGCAAACTTTTTTTTAATTTTTTTTTGTTTGTTTGTTTGTTATAAATTAATGTAAAATATTTAGAAAACAAAGGCTGTCAATCATAATCTGAACAAATTAAAGAAGCGGGAAAATTATTTAAAAAGTTTTTCAGTCGTCAAAAGGTTGTCTCATTCAAATTCACACACACTCTCTCTCTCTCTCTCTCTTTTTTTCTCTTTTCCCGTTTCGTAATAATTACAAAAAGTATGATAGAAGAAAAAGAAATTATTATTATTATTATTCCAGGAAAAATTTTAATTGCAAAAAAAATTATGTAAAAATTTATTCTCCTGCCACGATCGACTCATTCGTAATTTGTTAAGAACGAAAGATCAGGTTAAAAAATTTGATTAAAAAAAACTGGAATAAACGTTCTGGAAATATAAAAAAAAAAATTTCGACGTGTAAATAGAAATGAAAAAGGCGGGAAAATTTAAAAAAAAAAAATTTTTTTTCTTCAGTTTTTCTCGAAAAAAAAAAAAACGAAATTTGTTTATTTCCGTTTTTTCTATCTTTATTTATTAATATAAATCTTAAAAATTTTGTCCAGTCGTGTGCGGCGGACATCTTCGTTATCAGTTTCTAAGTCATTGAACCGATAATAAATTGTAGAAAATTTTCTTTTTGTTGTCCAGTTAAAATCTTTTCCAACAACACGACAATCATTACGGGTAGTAAGTAAAGAACGGGGGGAAAAAATTTTTTTTTTCCCGGTTAGAAATTTCCAGAATAAACTTATCGGGAAGAGAGGAGTGACTTTTCATTCCGGTCTTTTAACCATATAATTTCAACGAGAGTTTTTTATCTGGAGAAACTTTAATTAGCTGACAAATGGCATCAATAAACAAACCCCTCCCTCTACTGGAAAAGTCCAAAAAAAAAAATTTTAAAGGACATTTCATTTTTTTTTGTTTCGTCAAGTGGTGGGTGTTGGTAGTGGTAGAAACAAGAGACTCTGAATTTGACTCATTATCGACAAATTTAAAGTCAATTCCCACTGGAGAAAAGGAAAGTAGTTTTGTTGTTGTTGTTTGTTTGTTTGTTTGTTTCTCGAGAGAGAGTGAGAGAGAGAGAGAAAAGAGGACAGGAAACAAGAGATTTAAGAAGGGCAATTTTTAAAAATTAATTTGCTGCGGTAAGCTAATACTTGGATTCAACCCCACTTAAACTACCCCGTAATTGTTGTTTGTTCCTGGAGAAAAATTTAATTTTTTTTTTTTTTCCACAAAATGCCATTAAATTTTTTTTTTTAATTAGCTAAGTGCATGCTTTCAATATGGCATCCACGCGTGTGGGTGTGCGCGTGCGCGTGCAAAAAAAATACGGAAAATTAAACTTTTTTACGTGAACTGACAGAATGTGAAAGGAAAGGGGGAAGGGCAGTAGAAAAAAAGGGTGGTTGTAATAGTTTCGTAGCCGAACAGGTGGTTGTTTAAAATAGATGAATCATATTTTGGGGAGCCTAATTTTGCCCTTTTTTTTTATTACCCCCCCTCTCTCACCCCTTCCTCCAAAATATGCCGAATCATTTTTGATTTTTTCATCTTCTGCTTGAAATGTTACGTTGCGAAACGTCAGCGCCAAAAAAAAAAAAAACAATTTTTATACAATAACAAATTAAGTTAAAACGATTTTTTTCCCTTTATATATCATATTTCACGTCTTCTGCTGCTTCTCCTCTTCCTCCTCATTTTCCTCCTCATGCTGTCGTGATTCCCGTTTTATTATTATTATCTAAATAAACAAAATTTAAAAAATTTATCTATTAATTTAGGACAGATAATTGTTAATAAACGGGTGGCGTGATTTTATTTTGTAGAAAGAAAAAAAAAAAAAAACGAGTGACCTTTGACCTTTGCGCACGACAAACACGGAATTAAAATGTAAACATTATTATTATTATTAAGGTCACGAAAAATTTTTAGGAAAAAATTACGAAAGTTTTATTTGTTTCCTTAATTTTTTTTTTTTTTTTAAATTCGGACGAATTGCGTAATTTTTCAAAAAAAATTTTTCCCCGTTTCCGGTTTACGACTCGTAATAATAATAATAATAATAATAATAATAATAATAATAATAATAATAATAATAATAATAATAAACCAAACGAGACAGAAAAAAATAATAAACCAATTAGAGTCCATCAATTTATTTATAAAAAGATAACGTTATCAATTATCAAATTATACTCAATAATAATAATAATAATAATAATAATTGCGTTGTAAAAAAAAAATTTTTTTTTTTTTATAACCACCCCTAAACGTCTTAGAAAAATCACCCTTAAAATAACCCCTTAAACTACTAACTTCCTTTTTTTTTTTTTAATAAATTTAATCAAACGACTTTTCCAAACCTAAAACGACCGTGATAAATTTGGATAAAAAAAAAATTGGGGGGGGGGCACTAATGGAGTATCGAAAAAAAAAAAAATTGAAATCGTCAATATCCGTTTTTCATTATCGTTTAAAATTAATATACACACGCAGAAAAAAAATTGTTATTATTGTTATTATTATTAGGGGTTGATTTTTTTTATCAGGGGTGAAAAACGAATAAAAAAAAAAAATTTTCAGGTATGCAGAAAAGAATTTTCTTTACCATATGGCTCCGAAAAAAAAAAACGGAATTGATAATGTATATATATCGTAATAGGCCGCGGTAGTAATAATTTCTAAAAAAAAAAAAACGTATCAACCCTCGCCTTTCCCTCCCCCTTAGAAAAAAAAAAATTTCCTCCCATATTTTTTCAACAACCCTCCTCCCCCCTTATTCCCGTATTACCGTAGGATTTTTTTTTTTTTTCCTTACGACTTTTGCACCCGGTCGGTTAGTCTGTGTCTCGTCTCTCATACCGCCGTCCGTTTACCGCCGTTTTCGAACCCTTAATTTTTGTTTCAAACGTTTTTACCCCTTTTTTTTACCAACCCTTAAAAAATAAGAAGAAAAAAATTTTTTTTTTTTTTGGGTGTTCGTCAACCTTTTCTTACACCTGACAGAATTTTTTTCTTTTTTTTTTTTTATTCGAGCGTCGCGTAAGTTTTTTTTTTTTTTTTTAAATTCATCCCCGTCTATTATTATTATTATTTGTAATTATAAAAAAAAAAATTTAGGGGATGGAAAGAAAAGAGTTAAGTGTTGTTCAATTAGGTTTTTTTTTTTTTTTGCTATTATTTATTTATATTTTTTTTGCTCCAACAAAAATAAAAAAAAGAGATGATCAAGATTAGGCTCATTTTTTTTCCACGCAGGTGACAAATTTTTTTTTTTTGTGCGTTAACAAAAAAAAAAAAATTTCAAAATTTCCCGCCACTTTTTTTTTTTATTAAACAAACCTTCGAGAAAGAGAGAGAGATCGATTCTTTTGTGTCGATCTTTTAACGATCGATTATTTAAATAATAAATAAAAAAAATTAATTTAATTATAAATACATTGTTTGTGTGTTTAAAAAAATTAATTGGTTACCTTTTTTTTGCTCTTTCTCACACATACCAGCATCTTTTTCCGGTAGCAAAAAAAAACAAAACTCGTTTCTATTTACAATACAATAAATTATTATTATTATTTCAAAACTTATTAATTATTATCAATAACGATCTGAAGAGAGAAAAAAAACCGTTTTATTCGATAATATTCTCTCTTTCTTTTTCTTTTTTTTTTCTTTCTCTCTTTCACCTGGAAACGTTTTTTCGTGTCTTTAAATTATTTTTTTCTTTCTAATGCTACGTTCGTATCAACCCAAAACTCGTATAAGATGAAAAGAGAGGAACAGAAACGGGGGAGGTATCATTTAAAAATAAACAACAGTACAGGTTTTCATTTCGTTCGTAAGGAACTTGCACTCACGCACGCACACACGCACTCACACACGTTTATAAACCGTTTGTTACCGTTTTTTTTTTTTTTTTCCCTTGTGACATTTGACTGTCAATATATTTTATTTAAAATCGTTTTAACAGCTGTTAATTTACTTTCTGCTTTTATTAATGAGGTAAATAATATTGTCAGTTGTAAAAATCATTTATATATATTGTTATGATCCCGTACTCAATATTCACATTTTCAAATTTTTATAAACAAAAGACTGGCGACGAACTCGAATTGTTCTTCTTTAGAAGCGAAGCTTCTAAAGACTCCTTCTTTTATTTTATTTGCAAGTGTTTGCTAGTTCCCATTGTTGCTCGTTCGAAACAGTTGACTGACGAAAGACCAAAGTAATATAGGCAAGCTACACCGCTTGGCGTGGGTTCATTTGATTTTTAGTCTAGCTGTAATAAGTTCTTGTCTATTAATATTAGTTTTGTTAGTGATAGTTTTAAGTGCTTGTTCATTACTTACAAAAATAAAGAACGAACCGAATATAACATATAAAAATTTTGGCGCAGTCGACGAAGGATCATTCTGAACGACAAGAAACCGGAGAATTCTTAAGTAATTCGTTTCATGTTGGTGGGTTTTAACTCTTTATCAGAATTTCTTTATACTGTAAGTAGTAGTTAATAGGTAACTCATTTTGTGAACAATGCCTAAACTTGATCAACCTGTTTTCAACCCATCCCAAATACCCCTTGATTTCTTGTGTAGTCTAGTTCC